AATTGAAATATGTATATATAGAAGAACTGAAAACTCGAGAAATCGAAAAACCTAGAATTTTAAAAACTGAAAAATTAAAACATGGAAAAGTAGAAAAATTGAGAAATCGAAACAATAAAACATTCGAAAAATTGAAAAATCCAAAGTTCAACGAAAAATTGAAAAGCCCCCAAAAATGTAAAAAATCGAGGAATCAAAAAATCCAAGAGTCCAAAAATCAAAAATTCGAAAAATCGAAGTATTGACAAATTCCAAAACTGAAAGAAATATCCAAAACATTGAGAAATTAAAAATTTGGAAAATTGAGAAATCGAAAAACTAAAGAAACAAAGTCGAAAAATTGATAAATCAAAAACCTGAAAAATCGAAAATCGAAGAAGTGGAAAATCGAAACTTTAGGAAGTCGAGAAATGGAAAAATCTAGAATTTTTAAAATCAAAAAATCGAAAAATTTATAAACTGAAAGAAATGTCCAAAAATTGGAAAACAGAAATCGAAAAACCAAAAAAAGCAAAGTGGGAAAATCGAAGAATCGAAACTTTTAGAAGTCTAGAAATGGGAAAATCAAAAATATGTAGATCAATTGAGAAATCAGAAAACTGAAAATTTAGCAACCTCAAAATTTGAAAAATTGAAAAATAGAACTACTGAAGAACTGAAAAATAAAAAATCGAGAAATCTAAATATCTAAAATTTAGAACATTAAGCAATTAACATATCGCAAAATTGAAATATCGAAAATCTGAAAAATCCACAAATCGAGAAATCGAAATTCCAGAATTGAAAAAATTTTAAAATCGGATAACTGAAAAAGTGGAAAACCCAAAAGTAATACGAGAAATTCAATAATGGAAACGTTGAAAAATGCAAACAAAAAGAAAAATTGGAAAATTGGAAATTTAAAAATTGGGAAAATTAAAAAATTCAGAAATAACAATCGAAAAATTGAAAAATCTGAAATTTAACGAAAAATTGGAAAACCAAAAAGTATAAAAATCGAGATATCAAAAAATAAAGGAGTCCAAAAATCGAAATATTGAAAAATCTCAAAGCTGAAAGAAATTGAGAAATAAATAAATTGGAAAATTTAGGAATCGCAAAACTAAAAAAATCGTAAGCTTCACAAATCGAAAAATTGAAAAATCGAAACCTGAAAAATTGAAGAATTGAAGAAGTGAAAAATCGAAACTTTGGCTAGTCGAGAAATGGGAAAATAAATAAAACAAGATTAGTTCAGAAATTGAGAAACTGAAAATTTAGAAACCTCAAAATTTTACATTGAACCATCCGAAAATTGAGAAATCGAAAATTTGAAGAATGGAAAATCTCAAAAGCGTATTTAATAAACCACAAGTTCAGGATTATGCTACTTTTTAACGTTTAAATGACATTTATTCGACAAAATTGTAAGAGGACATCATCAATTGTTGGGGGGCATGAACGGATAAATTTTGACTAACGATTTAACATGCTGCCAATAACTATAAGTTGGAAAATGTTGATTTCTTTTCCAAAAATCTGTTGAAATGTAAATTGTATTATTCTTGAACATTATGTATTAAATCGTTAAGATGTTCAAGAACTTTGTTCACTTATTCGTTGTAAAGTTCGATTAGATGCTCGAAACGGGTTAGTTCGTAGTGGATCAGCTCTAACGAAAGTCGGCTTATACATACATCAATCGCTTAGAGTCGATATTGGCCTGAGTGCGCTCGGGTCTGTAGATCAAACAAGTCCTCCTACCCCGATTTACAGTGTGACGTGTAAGCCGAGTGGGCGAAATTTGAGTTGACTGACCCGGCGACATTCGTTTCGATCGCTTCGTCTGCGTCTGCTCATTGACTATTCACGAACTTTAAACCAATCAGTGTTATTATTGTAAACTCGTGGGCGCCCCGGTCTTAATCCCTCTTAGAGAATCTTGGCCCAAATTGCTTTATCTCGCACAAACCTATCTGTCGCATAATCATTGGCTGGTGTATAGCAACCGGGTCCGTCAATTCAATGTGTTGTTCCCTTCCGGCGTACCCGGCTTATCAAATCAGCTGAAACTCTAACTGAATTTACAACGGAACGGCATTTGCCGTTCGGAAAGCTACTCCCGTCCGGAAGTTTCATTGCCACCGACACTGTTGCAATACCGGTCGGTATTATGCAGCTGAAATATGTAATACACGGACGCACTATTACTTGGAATATTCGCCATCGCGCGTCCAATTTGTACCTCAAGCCCGTATCTCGTCGTGACTGGTGTATCCTTTTCAATATAAATATTATCGCGATATTCTGCATTATGTACCGAAATATGTAATATCCTCCGACACCCTTTTTTCCGAGCATCCGACCGAACTTTCGACGTTTCAATGCAATGCCGATACAATGCACAGATATGGGAATATATTGTCGCGGCTGTCAAATTACTTACTCCAAATGTGGCACCGGAAATGTATTGCTCCATTGTTGGGTGTTGTTGGCGCGTTTTGCTTGTTTTAAGATCGAGTTTGTAGCGAGCGGAAAAACTGAGGTGAAAAATTAGGAACTTTTCTGTTAAACATTCCCAACAATTTGTTGAATTTAGAGCGTCCTAACAAACTGAACAAATATTTGAACGGCGTTTGGAACGATGATGAATTTCGTTTATTTGCATACTGGCGAATTAAAACATTTCGGGTTATGATCAACAAAGTTTTTTTTGTTCGACGTGGACGCCGCAGCTGGAAAGGTGAAAAGGTCACTCCAAACGAGACAAATCCAGGTCGCGTATTTATTCGCCCGAACAATAAACTCTTGCTAGATTTTGTATAAGAATTATTTAAACAATATAAGTTCCGATCTTTGACTTCACCTCTTTGTTAGCTCAACCGGAGTGAGATAATGAAATCTGATGTACACATACACGAGTTATGTTCCATCTGGCGAGAATTCTGCGATTCTCCCGGCTTTAATTTCGCCCCACCCCGATCATTTTCCGCGAAATAACGAGCACATCCACCTGGAGCGGCAATAATACAAGATGAAAGGGTCATCCGGTGAAGATAAATTAAAACTTGTAACTATTCCGCTTCACCGGGTTCCAGCGCTGTTTTATCCGAAACGAATTGGATGAGGAATTTTTAAAAATGGTGATATCTCTCCTGCTGATGGCTATGCGGCAGCAGGAATCGAGCTGCACCTGCAGACACCAGGAGTAGCATAAATTTCACGGAACGAGGACGTGAATGGGTGCAATTAAACTTTTGTAATAAAGTGCGGCTGTAGTATTTAGGGAGGCGCAGTGTGCTTGCCTAGCAAAAAATTAGTTCGAAGTCGATTTTAAAATCGTGCAAAATGCATGATGTGTCGGCGACATAAACGTGGACAAAACGCTTTCCGAGTGGATATCTATTGATCGAGGAATTTTTCATAACTATGACGGTATAAAATTTTACGGCGCGGTCGGAGGTGGCAGGCAAATATTACAGTTCCACTGGCAATAATCGTTACATAACCTCTGGGAGATTATATTAGGTCTAGGGGCGGTTTTTTCCGTCCCGAAATTTTATTAAGAAATATAAATTATTCATCAATTCACTTACAATATCGGGGTGGAACTTCCTTTAATTATTTACGCTCTGACGAAAGTCTACACTAAAAGGATTACAGTCGGGATATCACGGCAATGCGGTCAGGATAACTCCTAAATGGATTAGGTGAAAACTTTTCATTTGCGTCTCGTTTGTCGTAAGTTGATAGGAGCTCGAACGAATTAACGTGGAGAAGTTTTTTATTTGTCGTTGAAGGCACGGCAAGCCGAATTAAATAGGATAATAATTACCATTCGGGGTTTTTGAAATAACAAAGTTTAACTTTTTCGTTTCAGGTAGTTAAATTAATGTTTGCAGCAATTTTCAGGCCAAATTAACAAACTTCGTTTAAAGTTTGCCCTGTTTTTTTGTATTGTGAACTCTTTCATGATCGGAGTAATGGGTAAATTAAAAACTGAAACTTTGACGGCGACTTTCACGGGTGGGGCGGCGTGTCAAGACTCCTGACGTTGAACGACTACACAAAAAACCCATTTGTTCTGTGGACATGAATAAACATGTCTTTTACGGACACTTTCATATTTACTCGCCCTAGAATTCTGCTGATTCATTTTTCACGTCCAACGTTGAATTGCGTTACAAATATTTGTTTACTAAGGTGGACGCCAGACGCACTATATACAGCGCGCTCAATTTTTAATCGTGACGTCATCGCCTGTCCGAAAGGGAAATCCGACGTTAATTGCTGATAGTAATAAAACGGCAACGTTTCGCAGGATAAAACTTCCATCCCGTCTAACTTTCCCATTTCAATATTAATTTTACACTCGAGTGTGTTTTATCTTTTCTTTGTTTTACCCCAGCTTGTTGCGAAGCGAATATAAAAACTCCATCAAAACTCCTCACTCCTCCCGCCTAAATCCATATTAGTTCTCTTAAAACAAAGCCCATCACGACACTTTGATGTCCTCCATTAGTTAATTGAAGCGTCTTTTTCCCCCAGGGGGCCCAGAATTAACACGCATTGTACGAACCGACCCACAACAATAAAACTCATTACCATGGCGAGGATTTAACCTTGGCGCGACCGCACAATACAGCCTCTATTAAGAATGTGTTTTCGAAACGATCCCTGCCGGGGGGATTAAAACCACTCCGCGTTGGGCAAAATCGGGCTCAACGGCCAGAAGTGTTTCTCTCTATTAATCCTACTTCTGTTACTTCGAATCCCTAGAATTATGGCGTGTTCGGGCCGACGGCCATCTCCACAATGGGCCTGACGCGAATGCAAATGCCAGGATACGGACGAACGTGGCAGGTATTAGAGGGGTCGAAGGGACGAAACGGAAAAAGCACGAATCTACTTATACCCTACATGTTGCGCGAGCGAACGGCACGTTGGGACTGCGTCAAAAGCGGCGTCATTTTTGACGAGTGACGTCACTCTATTAATTATAATGTTTTGTGCATTTGCAGGAAGTGCAAATCCTTAAAGCCCTCATCCTCGGCGAGGAGGAGCGCGGCCAGAGCCAGTACCAGGTCGTGTGCTTCATCTTCCACTTCGAGAAGGAGTCGTTCATCTCCTCCGACGCCATGTCGAAGCTCCGCCAGAAGAACCCGAGCACGATCCGCACCCCGGAGGAGGACCTCGGCAGGACCAACTACACCATGGACTACACCGTCGTCCTGCCGCACTCCGGACTCATCTCGCCGTTCATCGGCGACCTCTGCGCCGAGGCCGGCGAGGCCACCTACACCAGGCACGCCGACCTGGTGATGTGGGCGGCGGTTCAAGGTACGTCCGAAAACCCTCTTTTGCGAATTTCCACGTGTTGGAGTCGGCGTCGTGCATAAATCACCCGCGGCATGAAATTATAACTTCGCCAAAACGTATAAATCAGTAAAAAATCCATCATTTCGCCCGGGCGGGAGCTGAGTTATGGCTGTTTCGTACAAGTTGTCTTAAGGAAACGTCGCGGTTTCGGCATCTGCTTTAACTTATCGCAGGTGGAAATGTCAACGCGGTGTTGAGGGGTGATGTATGATGGCTGATTGGGGTTGGGGCAAATATTAGCGTTTCATTTGTGGGGGTAATGATGTCGCCGTGTTGCCGTATGTCGGCGGAATTTATGATGATGTCTTAAATAGGAGTTCGAGGCAGATGCCAGTAATTAATACGTTAGTATAAATTGGTAGGTAGGCTCGGAAGGAAAGTTTACGCCACACTGCTGTGTACAATCGCACTACAACGAAATTTACATTTTACTCTATAAAATTTTATTGACAATAACGGGACGGACAGTAGTTACATTTGGTAAGAAATATTTGTGGCTCACGCCAGTTCTCTCGAATTTGTCGGAGAAGATTTCGCAGGTAGTTGTTCCCATAAAATAATGGTCACTTTCGTTCGTGAGTAACGATGGTCCGGACATGAATTATTTTGCTTTCTAACATCTTTCGACCAATCGTTCCGTATCAAAAATTTCATCACTTTTTCAAATAAAATACTCTTTAAAAAAAAAAAACGATATTGTCGTTGAGTGACATGTAACTGGCATAATAATAAAAACGTGCCATTTTTGTTAACTGATATTTTTTTCATAAATGTCGCAAAATTATTAAATTTGTCTGATCATCCCCACCAATAATGTGATGACGTCACTTCAAATTTATGCATAGTAAATGTGTTTTAAATTGTATACAGTAACATAGTCCTACACATGTAGTTTATGACTCCGTGTTGAATTTTCCGAAACGTCCAGATTTTTGGAAAAAAAATCAAAATTATAAAACAATATTTTGCAATTTAATTTTGAATTTGCAAAATCGAATACTTTGAAATCTTGCAGATGTTTTAAAGTCATGATAAACATGATACATAGAAAATAGAAAAATCGATTTTTAGTGTTTCGATTTATCAATTTTTTCCGGATTTTTAGTTATTCGATTTTGAATTTTTGACTTTTTTAATTTTTCAACTTTTCGAATCAAAAAACTTGAAAAATTGCAAAGTTTTAAAATTGAAGAATCAAAAATGTTAAAACGAAAAGTACGGAACAAAGAAAACTTCGAAAAATCTAAAAATTTAAGAAGCCAAAAATTAACAAATAGGAAGAATAAAAATTCTGAGAATCTTAAGAATTGAAAAAGTCCAAAAATCGAATCACTGAGAAATCCGAAGATTGAAAATAAAAAAATTTGAATAAACGAAGAACTATAAATTGAAAAAACAAAGGAAATGAAAACACGAAAAATTTTGATATAGAATTGACAAAATAAAAATTAAAGACTCGCGAAAATGAAAAGTAAAAGTGAAGGACTTAAAATTGAGGAGACGAAAATTGCAAAACCGAAAAATGTAAAAAATAAAAAATCAAAGATTCAAAATTTGGCGAATTGCAAGACGAAAGCAAATTTGAAAAAATGGAGGAATGGAAAAACGAAAAATTGCGATATAAAATCGAGACGATGAAAATAAAAAAAATCGGAAAAATGAAAGTGTGGAAACGAAAATTTGAAAAATCGATATTTAGTTTTCCAATGTTTCAATTTCTGGTTCCTTCAGTTTTTCGATTTTCCACTTTTTCGTTTTTTTGATTTTGCTGATTTTTTAGTTTTTTGATTTTTTTATTTTTGAAGCAAAAAACTTGAAAAATTGCAAAATTTTAAAATGGAAAAATCAAAAATGAAAAAAAGAAAAAGCATAAAATGAAGGACATTTTGATAAATCAACATTAAAGAAACGAAAAATTGAAAAATAGAAAGACTAAAAATTGAGGAACATAAATATCGAAAAAGTGCAAAATCTAAAGACGAAGTATTTTAAAATCAAAATATTGAAAATTAAAGAAATCGCAAAATCGAATCATTGAGAAATCTAAAGATTGAAAATTTGAAAAACTGAATGAACACAAATTAAAAAACGAAAAATTCTGAAATAAAACCAAAAAAATACACATTAAAAAATCGTTAAAATGAAAAATAAAAATTAAGAATTTTAAAATTGAGGATATGAATATTTTAAAATTCGAAAAAACTTGGAAGTAGAAAAACTGAGAAATTGAAAAATTAAAGTTGAAAAAAGAAAAGAAAAACTATAAAACTGAAATCTTGCAGATGTTTTAAAGTCATGATAAACATGATACATTTTTTATTAAAATATATTTGCTTATCCCCTCTAAAAAATTTATGACGTCACCTCAAAATTTTGCAGAATAAATCATATCTTAAATGCATAAAATATGATGATTTTTTATACTTGTCATTTATCACTGCATTAATATTTTTTTAGATTTGGTTATACAGGGTGTCTCAAAAAAGTTAATGACTGAGTCAATTTGTTTTATTGAAGAAATCAAGAATAGCAAAACTGAATACTTTGAAATAGTGTAGATGTTTTAAAATTTTTGTAAGCATGGTAACTTTTTCGAAAATTTGATTAATCAAATATGCGGCAAATCGAAAATCGGAAAAACTGAAATTCACTAATGCAAAAAACAGAAAATCGTAAAAATCGAAAATCTAAAAATGGATAACCAAAAAATCGAAAATTGAATGAATCAAATACCGAGGTCGATCGAAAAGTGGAAATTCACAAACCTCAAAAATCGAAAATTGAAAAACGGAAAAACCAAAAAATCGAAAAGTCAAAAATTTGTAATACTGAAAATTAAAAAAATCAAAAACAAAAATTAAAAAAAATCGGAAATTAAAATAATCAAAATATATAAAGTAGAAAAAATTGCAAAGCCTAAAAACTGAAACGAACAGAAAAATCGAAAAAGCAAAAAATTGGAAAAACAAAAATTCGAAAAATCTAAAATCGCAAAAGTGGAAAATCGAAAATCTGAATAAAGAAACTTGGAAATTCTGAAAATTGGAAAATCGAAAACCAAAAAATCGGAGAGAAACAAAATTGAAGTCTAAAAGGTGAGAATGGAAAAATTGAAAAACCGAAAATTCTAAAAATCGACAATGGACAAATTGAAAATCGCAAAATTTAAATTGAAAAATTGAACATAGAAAAATCGATGAATTGAAAAATCGAAAATTCGACTACTCAAATTTTCTAAAAATCGAAAAATCATAAAACCGAAATATCCAAAATTCTAATGGTCGAAAGTCTGAAAACTGAAAATCGAAAATTCTGAAAAGCGGAAAATAGAATATCGAAAAATTTAAAAGAAAGAAAATCGAAGTCTAAAAATCGAAGAATGGAAAAATTAAAAACCAAAAATTCGAAAAATCAAAACCGAAAAGTTCAAAGATTTAAAAAGGAAAATCGAAAAATCAAAAATCTGAAAATTGAAACTCGAAAATTCGGAAAATCGAAAAGTAAAAAAATTGAAGCCTAAAAGCTGAAGAATGGAAAACTGAACAATCGAAAATTCGAAAATCAAATATCGAAAAATCGTTAAGCCGAAAAATCGAAAATTTGATGAATCAGATATGGGAAAAACCGAAAATCTGAAAATACAAAACTGAAAAATCGAAAATCTAAAAATGGAAAAACCGAAAATCGAAAATTCAATGAATATAATACGTAGGTCGATCGAAAAACCGGAAATTCACAAATCTGAAAAATCGGAAATTTGCAAGATTGAAAAACCGAAAATTGAAAAATCAAAAAACCGAAAAATGGAAAATTCAAAAATCGAAAAATAGGAAAACAGAAAATTCGAAAATTCATAATATTGAAAACTCTAAAAGTCGACAATTCAAAAACCGAAAAGTAAACAAATTTCAAAGCCTAAAAAGTGACGAACAGAAAAATCGAAAACTCGTAAAATCATAAAGTGGAAAATCGAAAATCGAAATATCGAGAATCGACAAATTAAAAAACCGAAAAATCGAAAAATTAAAAAATCGGAATTCGAAAAATGAAAAAAAAAACGAAAATTCAAAAATCGAATAATCCGAAACTAAAATAATAGAAAAGGGTAAAAGTAAAAATTGCAAAGTCTAAAACTGACGAACAGAAAAATCGAAAAATTAAAAAGAATCGAAAAATATCTAAAAATGGAAAAATCGAAATGCTCAAAAATCGAAAATTCGATTAACCGATATTCTAAAAATCGAAAAAACGGACACAAATCCACAAATCTGAAAAATCGAAAATAGAAATATCGAGACTGGAAAAATTAAAAACTGAAAAATTGAAAAATCCCAAATCGAAAAATGAAAAAACCAAAAATTCAAAAATCAAACTATCGGAAAGTAAAATAATCGAAAAATGGAAAAATAAAACAAATCGCAGAACCATAAAAACCGAAACAAACAGAAAATTCGAAAAACCACAAAATCGGAAAAACGAAAATCGAAAAATCGCAAATCGAAAAATCGTAAAATCAGAAAATGGAAAATCGAATATTCGAAAATTGAAAAATCGAAGGTCGAAAAATAAAAAAACCAAAAAATCGAAAAATTTAATGATTAATGGAAAATCGAAAAATCGAGAATAGAATAATTAAAAAACCGGAAAATTGAAAAATCGGAAATCGAAGAATCAAAAACGTAAAATCGAAAATTCAAAAATCAAAAAAATCGGAAAGTAAAAAATTTGTAATACTGAAAATTAAAAAAATCAAAAACAAAAATTAAAAAAAATCGGAAATTAAAATAATCAAAATATATAAAGTAGAAAAAATTGCAAAGCCTAAAAACTGAAACGAACAGAAAAATCGAAAAAGCAAAAAATTGGAAAAACAAAAATTCGAAAAATCTAAAATCGCAAAAGTGGACAATCGAAAATCTGAATAAAGAAACTTGGAAATTCTGAAAATTGGAAAATCGAAA